GCTCGCTTGAGAGAGCGTGGTGCTGACAACACCAAGTCAAGGGTTAAGATCCCCTTACCAGTCATCTTTTTTTTTTTTTTTCCTTTTTGTCTTTTTTACTGACCGGTAACGGGATCGCAACCCTCGGTGTTGCGTCTGCACCGCGCTCAGCCAGTGAGCGGGAACTGGTCTCCACATGGGATCTGAACCCTCGGCAGGAGCGCCACCGCGCTCCCAAGCGGCGCACTCTCCAGTGCGCCACCGGGCCGGCCCTACCGGTCATCTTTTAAAAAAAAGAAAAAGAAAACAGGATACAGCATTCTAACTACTTGTGAGTAAACTCTTTAGTAAATTATGCATACTAATAAAAGTATATCAAGATATACTAATGGATGGCATACTGTAGGTCATAATCTTTTTTTTCCATTTTTCAAATTGTTGATAACATGGTTATATACAAACATGTGTTCATCAAAGAATGGGAACAGAACGGTGGGGCACTGTGAGGAGGTAGGGAAGGGAGAGCTTGTGGAGAGGCCGGGTGGGAGGCTTACGTGGGCAGCTTGGAGAAAAGGGAGCTTCAGCAAAGCACCGGCACAGCCATTCTGCAGTGCCAGCAAGAAGGCTGCCCGAGGCCCAAACAGCTCAGAGCTCGACTTCTGCAGATTGTGAAAGTGCTCACAATAGCGTGGCACAAAGTCATCATCCCGCCAGTATGAGGTCAGAAAATTGTTCACCTGGAAGGAAGGGGCAGGAGAGGCATGAAGAGGCAACCCAGTGTGCCACCATTACAGTGCCCCTCTCTCCCTGACACCTGCTCCTGCCCACCTGCTCCTCCACCACGACCCGCCAACAGCGGGTCAGGTTCCTCATGATGCTGCTGGGAAGGCCCCGGGTAGCCAAGGAGCTCCAGTCGTGGCTTCTGTTCCTGCCCTCTGTGGCGACAGAGGAAGTGGCAGGGGCAAGGAGGGGCAGCCCCCTGGCTCCCAGGTCCCTAGCCAAGGCTGAGCCCTGAGGCCATTCCTGACATGCTATAAGATGAGCAGGCTGAGCACACAGGGAGGGGAAAGGGGAAGATAGATGGAATCCTGTGGTGTGGAGGGAGTGGTGGGCCCCAGGAAACCGTTCCTCACTAGAGCTCCCCACCTGGACCCTGGCACTCACTGGGCCGAGGAGTGGCCACCACCAGAGGGGATGCCCCACAGGGCTCAACGTGCACCAGCAGGTGGGTGAGGCGGCGCACCCGCGAGGAAAAGGCTGCTGAGCGGCTCTGAGGGTTGTGGGCAGCCTCCCGACACTCCAGGTACTGGTCCAGCAGCCAGCCGAGGGGGCTGATGCCATCCTCATCTGGAGATCAAGGAAAACAAGCCATGGCCTGGCATGTCCTCAGCCAGGGAAGTGGGAGAGGCCGGGCTGGATGGGAGTGTAGAGAAAGCACAACTGGACTGAATCATATGGGGAGGGGTAGCAAGTCCCCTCCTGACCTCACGGTGTCAGCTGGCACTTGAGAAAGGGGGCAGCCCCTGGGCTGTGAGCAGAGGGCACAGAGGTGATGAATGCAAGTACCAAAAAGGCAAAGAGCATAACCCAGGCGGTTCTAGGGTACAGCAAGAAGGAGCTGCTGAGTGGGGCCTCACAATGGAATGGGAAAGGGGCCAGGTGTCAGGGTGGTTACCGGGTGAGGTGATGTTCTGCACCAGGGGGCTGACCAGGGCCTCCCAGCAGGTCTTGCCCAGTGCTTGGGCAGCCTCATCATCAGGGAGGAAGTGATCAGCAAAATTCTGCTCCTGGCGCAGAGCCTCATTGAGTCTGGGGATGAGATCGGGGAGGAAGGTGTCAGGGACCAACTCCCAGCACCCAGACTGAAGCTCCACTCAGCACTTCAGAACTACCCTCCACCAACTGGAATAGCCCATTCCCACCACAGAAATCCCTTGTCTTTATCCTTTCTTCCCCTCCCCACACCTCAGAACACTGGCACCCTTCCCAAGCAGATTAAACCTCCATCTTCTGCCTCCGGAGATGCCACCCACCAGCCATTTGCAACAACCTTACCTTTCACACAGACACAGGTACACACACACGCTCCCACATACCTAGAACTCAGGTGCAAGAGGCTCCTGCGGTCCTCCACGATGTCCTGACTCCAGGCCTGTGCCCGAACCATGTAGAAGAGGCGAGTGTGGCGACACAACTGCTCCCGGAACACTGGCCAGAACATAAGCTTGGGGCCCAGGACTTCTAACCCCCGAATGCGTGTGTCGATGCCGCCCTGCAATGCACACAGGCCTTTTTGCTTGCCTCACACCCTCAGGATGGGTTGGGATCAGCTACGCCCTCAAGCCTCACGCTTGGAGCTGCCCAAGACCCACGCTAGAGTTCTGGCTCAAGATCTGCAATAGTTCCAAGGCTCAGAGCCCCCTATCCAGGGCCACACCCCACACTCCCTGTACTACCTGCTGGCAGCGCTTTATGCGGATCTGGATGATGGGCCAGAAGTGGTTCAGGTTCTCCAGGAGGATCACCCGGCTAGCACAGGGCATCACATTCACCTGGCGGGGGGCAGAGAGGGCTGTCACCTCCACACCTGTGGATGAGAGTGCTGAGAGCACCCTAGTCAGCTCCAGTCTCCTCACTGTGTCCCTCGCTTCCCCAGGCCCGGGATATGTGGGGTCCTGACAAAGGGGTCCTAATGCCACTCCCTCTGCTAAGGGCCTGATGCCTTCATGTAGGCACAAGGATAAAGGACTCTACTTTCTGTGGGGCTTAAGACAAGGAAGAGTTTAGGAGTCTATTTATTTATTTATTTATTTATTCATTTATTCATTTTTTTTTTTTTTTAAAGATGACCGGTAAGGAGATCTTAACCCTTGACTTGGTGTTGTCAGCACCACACTCTCCCAAGTGAGCTAACCGGCGATCCCTGTACGTGATCCGAACCCGTGGCCTTGGTGTTATCAGCACCACACTCTCCCGAGTGAGCCATGGGTTGGCCCTAGGAGTTTAGGAGTTTAGAGTCTGGGCAGGAGGGCGGATTCTATGAGGGGTGGGCCTATGGCACAGGGGCCCCTACCGAGTTGAGTTCCGTGTTAAGAGAGCTGGTGCTGTCACCCCCATACACCACCACCCGGGCTGGCATGTAGCTCGAGTCCTCGCTGGCCACCAGCAGAATCAGCTGCCTGGGTATAGGGAGGAGGAACCAGTTGGAACGAGAACCTGTCATATCCCTTCAGATAGAGCCCAGGGGACTCTTTGGCCAAGTGCTTGGGGGTGGGGGCTGTTTCCCCCAAGACAAATATGGTGAAGTCACGAGAAAGCATGGGTATGTGGCTAAGCATATGCACGGGAGCATGTTACCTGACCAGGATGCCCTGGTGCATGTGCAAGGTGATGTAGTGGGATCCAGCGCTGCCATTGGACTCCCAGTAGGTCTTGGGGTTGCGGTCTGTCAGCTTGCTGGCCCGGTGTGGGTTGGAGGACACCTCCACCTTCTCCCAGCACTTGTCCTCCTTCACTTCTACACTGGAGCCTAGGGACAAGTGGGAAGGGGTGGAGGTCACAGCCTGGTAGGGAGTGGAGGGGACACAGGTGTGGGGATGTGGAATAATGGGGGACAGGCACGAACCCTGGCATAGATATCTGAGGAAAACATCAAAGAAAGGGATATTGATGGGCCGGTGGGTTCGTCTGTGGTCTTCAATCTGGCCTAGCACCATCTGCAGGCGGAATATCAGAGGGAAGGGGAGAGGGAGGAACGTGGAGAGACACACGGAAAAATGTATGGGGAAAAAAGCAGGTGGGACTTTCTCCACAACACTGGCAGAGCAGGGCAGGGAACAAATGCCCCCAGGTTCACTAGTCACCTGCTGTTCTGATTCAGGAACGTGTCCCCTTCCCTGCCACTGCTCAGGCTTCATATTCATATGCAGCTCAGAACCCACAAGCTTCCCTCTGCCCTTCCTCCTGACCTGGATGCAGCCTCCCAGGATGTTGGTAGTGAGTTTCCGGTAGAGGTGAGCGTGCTTCTCACACTTGAACACCATGTCTCGCAGCTCCTGAGCCAGCTCCAGCTTTCCCAGGTGCTTCTCCAGGGCCTTGGAGATAGCATCTCGGGCTCCCAGCTGATTGAGTACCACAGCATAGTCCCTGCTTGCAGAGGTCAGACGATGCAGGAAGAAGATCAGTTCCTGGAGCACCTGGGATGAGGACATGAATGGGGAGGTGAATAAAGGAGACAGGGCACATGCCACAAGGGCATTTGCAGTAGTATATACCCATGGTGTGCTGGGTACTGGGGATGCTGCAGTGAACAAGACATAGTGGGAAAGTAAGACAGGGATGAGGGAGACATGAAAGTCAGGTGGAGTTAGAGAACCAAAGACAAACCAATATGGAAAAAGCCAAGAGACACCTGCCACCCCGGGGTTCTAGACAACTGCTTATGTTGGCAACAGGTGCAGAGAGCATCCCTGGGTTCTTTCATTCAGGCCCAGCTGTCCCAAGAACCAGTTGTAGGGCTGCCTTTTGAGATGTTCAGGCCCCAAGCACAGGCACCAGGATAGCTGGAAGGGGACCAAGCGGGCCTGGATTTGTGTGTGGACACTCAGTGAGTCCACCTCAGAAACTAACACCTGGGGAACAGCTAAAGATGTGGACTGCGGACACTCACTGCCACCACGACCCTACTTCTCTGACCCCTTCCAAAGCCTTCTGTGCCCGGGACCTTTCTATATTTCTTGCAGGGGACTCTGGTATGTGATGGTCCCCTCTACCTCCTTCACCCCTTTCTCCCACAGGCCCACCAATAAAAAGGTGTCGCTGAAGCTCTTAATGTAATATATATATCCTTTTGTGTAAGAAAGATGGTAAGACCATACATTTGGGTTTGTTTATATTGGCGTAAGGAAATACAGGAGGGACACATCAATTAATACAAGTGGTTAACAATAAAGGGTGTGTGGGGGTACTGGGAGAACAGGGATTTGGATGACAGCGAGAATTCTCAATGTGTACCTTATATCGTTTTGATTTGTGAACCATGTGAATGTACTACCTATTTAAAGAAATAAAATTCAATTTTAAAAGCGAAACTCAAACCAAGAGCACAAAGGCTTTGTCGTGCCCTCCAGAGCCTTGCCCAGGGGGGCTGCCTTGCCAGTGGCTGCCTTATGTCCTTTCCCTCCCAGCATCTCCCAAGAGCAGGGCAGGGGTACCTCTCGGTTGGTGTTTGGGGACCGCAGGCAGGCCATGCAAGCATCCATGGCCTCATGCCAGGGGAGCAGCAGTGCCTCAGGGAAGTCCACCAGCTGCATCAGGATTCTGGGGGAGGGAATGGGAGGACAGAGATGTGTAGCCAGACTCAGAGACCCCTTCTGACCCCTCACCTTTCCCTCCACTCCCCCCACCTCAAAACGGTCAGGTGCAGGGCCCTGTGGGTTGCTGCTGGAGTATCCAGGCTCCACATCAGTGTAAGGAAGGTCTGGGGCTGCCGCTGCAGCCGCAGCAGGACTGGCTTGACCTCGTTCTCCCGGTTCCCCTCCAAGCTGAGGGCTTGCTCCAGATCCAGGAGGATTTTCCCAGCCGGACCATAACCCTCCACCAGACACTGTAGGGGAGTGTTGGGGCTCTGAGATGGGAGTTCTTTTGCTACAGGAAGAGGGGAATCACAAGAGTTGGTCATTGTTAGTGATGTGAAGGCTCAGAAAAGGATAGACAGATTCATGACTCTCAATTTTTTTTTCTAATTTTTCCTAAAAATGCTTTGATTTTTTTTGTCCTCCTAAAAGTTAAGTTTGGGGGTCGCATACTATCTCTTAATATACTTATAAGACAGCTTCGTGACAAATTTTATATTTTATATTCTTAAAATAGCAAAGTAGCTTTGTGTCTGCAAATAGCAGAGCATTTCTCTGTATTTCAAGGCATGCAGGCTGGCTGGTTCAGTTGGTTAGAGCACAGCCTTATAACACCAAGGTAGCAGGTCTAGATCTCTGTACCAGCCAGCCGTTTAAAAAAAGAAAAAAAAAAAAAAAAAAGAGCATGGTGCTGATAACACCAAGGTCCAGGGTTCAATCCCTGTACTGGCCAGCAAAAATAAATATGAAAATAAAAGCATGTAATAACTTCGGTGCCGGTCCCGGTCCGGTACGGGCGCAACACTGAGGGTTGTGATCCGTTGCCGGATTTAAAAAAAAAAAAAAAAAAAAAAAAAAGAGCATGGTGCTGATAACACCAAGGTCCAGGGTTCAATCCCTGTACTGGCCAGCAAAAATAAATATGAAAATAAAAGCATGTAATAACTTGTTTTTGCCTCCAATAGTAAAAGTTAAATGTGGGGGCTCTTTTAAGACTTCAAAAATCTCTTGCAATTTTCAAACTTTACACCCTCCTTCATTTTTTGATGGGAGTACAATGTCAGCTTCTCCATTTCTTGCTTGTCTCTAAGTTTCAGATTCTTCCTAAGGTACTACCTCTTCCAGACAGGATGGCTCAAAAATCAGCACAGACATCTCTCCTGTGCTAACACCCTCCTAAAGGCAAGTCTGCTCAGCTGCTATGTCTGTCTGGCACTCACATTCCACTCTGGTTTCATTATCTGATTCCTGGGCTTCCAGTAGGAGGGCATCTTGGTAGGCTTCTAGAAGGGATTGGTAGGGTGGCTGCCCTGTCAGGGCCCCGGGCCCATATTTCCTGTAGACACGGCAGTTGAGCAGGTCCCTGAGAGCACTGTCATTGAGTCTCTGTGGCAGAGCCAGCAGCAGGTCCTGGGCCAACTCCATAGGCACAGCCAGCTCAGCCAGGATCTCATCATCCAGAATCTGCCACCGGGGAGAAGCTCTCACTGCAGGTGGCCCTGCAGGCAGAGAGGCTCCAGAGGACATTTGGTAGGGGTGGGAATCTCTCTGCACACACATCCTCTACCCTGAACCTCTCATAACTGCCCTCTGGCTCCTCCCAAACAGCTCACCAACACCTCCCACCTCCAAACATTCCAGACCCCTCCCTGCGGCCCTTTACACTCTCTGACCTCTGCTTCCCATCCTGAGCCTTCCAAATGCTCTATGACAGTCCAGCCCTTGCAGGGAAGCCCTCCAACCTCCAGGTGTCTCCAGGCTGCTCTACCTCCCCATCCAGGTTCTCCTGGAGGATCTGTAGAACCTCTTGATAGTCATGTCCATCCAGCTTCTTGATGAAGAAGAGGAGCTCCCACCACTCAGCCTGGGTCAGGTGTTCACTCTCTTCAGTGTCCTCATCCTCAGGTGGCACGTAAGGCATGGCATAAAGCTCTGTCATGGGCTTCCAGCGCCAGGAGGGCAGGGCTGTGGAAATGGGCCATGGAGCAAAGGGATATCTGCCCACCCAGCCAGACCACTGCTCCTCTGCTCAGAGCTGACCCCTGCTTCCTCTCTGAGCTCACCTCCACCCAGGGCTCCACTGACCACAGCCCTCTGGTACTCATCAGCCTCAATCATGTCCTCAACGTCTTCCTCAAAGCCCAAGATCTCCAGCATGTGCCAGTGTACCCAATAGGTGCGGCCTGTTGATTCCCACAACACCTGGAGGATAGGGGAAAAAGGAGAGGGAAGGTGGAGAGAGGGCTCACTAAGGACTAGCTGTGGCCCAATGATATGGAACAATAGTCCTCAGGATGACCACTTGGCCAGGTTTGGAAAAACCTCCAAATAGCAAAACACTGGCATATGGAGAACGTATACACACACACAGAGAACATCTTCACCTTATTGGGATATAGGGATGCGTTTTGCCTCTCTTCTCATCCTATCCTTGATGGCTTCTGCCCCTATACTTCTTCTCGGCCTCAACCACCACATCTCCCTGACCCTGACTTTTGGGGGTCTTGCTATATCAGTTTCTTCCTTGGGTGTTAGTCTTCTTGACCTCACTGCCTCCTAAACCCAGATATTCTCCAAATGGCCCCGCTTTCAATTGCTGACCCCCTTTTACTATCCCAGTCTTACTGAGGGTTTCCTCCTTGGGTGGCCTGCCAGAGCTCACTATATGGAAGCCCCAGCTATGACCCACCCCAAATAGATCTCCAACAGTGTCCCACCACCGTGTCCCACTCACCTGCACAGGGGGCACGCCATTGTTGCTCTGCTGGAACTCACCCTTGTCCCCAGCACTGATCTCCTCGTAATTATCCAGCATCCGCACTCGCATCCCTGGCTGCAGCGTGTCCCGAACATACAAGGCATAGGTATTGCCACTTGCGAACTCAGAGCGAGGGCGAAACTGCCTTGACCTCCTCAGGGAGGGCCGCGCCTGGGCAGATTGGAGCCCTGGGTCTGCATCTGCTGGCTGGAAGATGGAACAGGGGCACCGGACCGAGCTCCCTGGTCTTGAAGCCTGGTCCCAGCGCATGGCCTGCACCAGCTCAGAGATGAGGGTGCCCAAGGCCATACTGAACTCCAACTCCAGCCTACCCCTCTCACCACTCAGCTCCTCGGGAGCAGAGTTGTTCTGGGCACCTGGTCCCACAGCACTGTCGTTCAGCTGATCCAGCAGGGAGGTGACATGCAAATAGTGCTTTACCAGGGAGAAAAGCAGCCTTCCTGGGACCTGTGGAATACAACCTTTGGCCTACATCCACCCTTTGCCAGTTTTAGCCCCTCTCTCCACACTGTCCTCTGCAGACAGGTGCAAAGGCCTGGTCCTTAAATCTTGTTCACAGCTCCCCCCACCCCACAGTATACCTGTGGCAGCTGAATGCCCTCAAAAGACATGGGATGTTCAGAGAGTGTGGCCTGTGCAAACAGTGCTAGCAGAGCACAGCGGCTGTCAAAATCCAGGTGTTTCTCAATGGCCTCTTGCTGGCTCAGTGACAGAAGGATCTGAGTCCGGGTCCCTGTAACCCACATCCCAATCAGTAACTGCTCCCTAACCTCATCCTTCCAAGGTATCTCTCCTAGACCCTCTACTTTTTCAATCCAATCCTTTTGCCATCACACAGTGGGAATGACATACTTTGCTGACTTGCTTCAAAAGCCAAAATTTACCATCCTATTCGTATGTGCACATGTATACACACACACACACACACACACACACACACACACACACACGCACACAATCTGCAACAGTGTAAACTCTAAACTATTCCTTTTCATAGAAAGCCAATTAATTAATATTAGGTTCTTAAGGATTCAGTCTTTCCTCTTTCTGCAGAGATGCCCCTCCTCCCCCACCTCCTTTTCTTCCAACTCCAAGAGAAGAGCAACAGAATCATTTACGTACTGATGAGGTCAGAGGCTTCTGGCACAGTGTCCTGTGAGTCCCTGAGCCGACCCAGCCCCTCTCCTGCTTTCCCTTCCTCCCCACACTGCTCCTCACCAGCATCATGGGAGGACAGGGCTTGTATCATCCGGCCTGCGCTCCAGCGAATCTGATAATCAGGACTACTTAACATGTGCATGAGCAAGTCCAGGACCCTTGGGTCCTTGAACACCCCAGTGAGGGGCTCGATGCTGGCATAGGCGCTGAGCACATGGACAGTGTGAAGCAGAGGAGCAGGAGGAATGGCACCCACACACTCCTCCAGCTGCCGAAGGGCCCTCTGAATAAGGGACTTCACATCGGTTTCCATCTCCCCCAGCACAGATTTGTCCAGGGCCCCAACCTCCCCTGCAGACTTCTGGGAGGGACCGATAACCTGGCCGTTCTCGCCCAGCATCTTGTGACAGTTGGCATAGATCTCATCATTGGACATCCATAGCAGGATGTGCTCAGCCTTGCAGTCTGCTTGACTCGAGTCCCCTTCCCCATCATCCCCACGCCGGAGGATGAGCCAGCGGATCTGGTACTCAGGATGTCCATCGTGACCCACTCGCTGGCGGATCAGCTCATCAGGATAGGCATGCAAGCCAGGCCCCAGAGGCACCCTGAATTCCCTGTAGCGGAGTTCCCCCACCATCCTGGCACCTGGGACACACAAGCAAAAGAGAACAGGCAAGCTAAGGGTAAGAGGGGAGGTCGGAAAGTCAAGGACATCCAGGTGTTGGGGAAGCAAATGTAGCAACAGCTGTCGGGCCGCTGCGGAGACCGGGAGAATAAAACAGGGTCAGAAGTTGTCTGCTGTATGTTGGTTGGGTGAGGCCAGGCCTGAGCAGAAGAACACTGAGGTTTGTTCTGCGAGGACACATTTGAGGGCTAAAAGGAATGTCTCCAAGGCCCTGCAGCCTGGAGCGGGTTAGTTCAGAAAAGCGGGGGTGGGGACAGTGGGGGCAGGGCGGCCTTGGAGTTACAAGTGAATTCCAAAGCCCTGGGACAGGGAGCGGCCCTGGGAAGAGGGTGTGTGAAGCCCAGAGGACTACGTTTGGGAGGGTTGGGGAGGGAGATCCCGAGTGTGTGTGGAAAGGGGTGAAGCACGGAGTGAGTCGTAGAGGCAAGAGACCTCGAGAACTGGTGGCGGAGTGGGAGGGCAAGGCGCGACGGGCTTGGAAGAGGGACTGGTGGGCTGGAGACGCCTATGGCTGGAGCAACTGGAGTAGCAAGGATGGTGGGAACCCGAGCGGCTCGGGACAGAGTGCACAGGAGACCTGGTGGGTGAGGGGCGCGAGGCTTGGTCGACGGGGGTCAGAGACCGGAGAAAGAGAGGACGCGAGGTAGGGTGGGAAAGGGGAGGCTAGGCCCGAAAAACGAAAATCCCGAGGTACGGTGGTACAGGAGGACGCGAGGTCGAGTGAGCACGAGGCTCGGTGGGCGACTGGGCGGACGAAAACCCAGGGTAGGGGCAGGGGGCCGCGGCGGGGCTCTGGCCACCTCAGAAATCCACCGGGATCTTGGAGCGAGGCCTGTCCTTTGCAGAGCTAGGGACGCGGCACAGACGATGGCGGCGACGCTGGCGAAGATTTGGGCCCCGCCTGGGCCCCCCAGGGGGTCGAAGCGGAGAGGCGGGAGTGGGCGTGCCGCCGCAGACAGGGGGCGTGGCGCGGGTACCCGCTGTCATCGCCGGCTTGCGCAGCTTGGCGGCCGCCGGGGCAAGGCGGGGCTTGGTCCCGGCCAGCGGTGCCGGAGCCCCGCTCTGGGGACTCCACCGCCCGCCCAGAGCCACGGCTCATTTCCGCTGGACCCAGCGGAAAGCTAGGGGCCCTGGGAGTGCGCCGGGGAGGAGTCGCGGGTGCCACCTTGGCGATGCGCGGCACCTCCTCCTTTGCGCCGCCCTTTCCTCTTCCTTTATGTCCTCCCTCCTGCCGCCGGAAGTTCCTTCCCCGTTTCCCAAAGTCAGAACTGGAAAAAACCTTGGAGGTCATTTATTCCCTCTCCTCCATTACATATAAAGGAACTGGGTGGTAGGTACGGCTCCATACTATCCTTTCCTTTCTCTTCCCCCCATACTTGTTTGCTCATTTTTTCCACTTCCAGTCAGTACCATACCCTCCGTCCCCCCCTCCCCAAAAAGAGTAACAGGTAAAAATGGGGGGCATTTTATTAGAGTCCAGGGATATCAGCCTTGGGCAGCAGAGGGCAGCTTCACATAACTCTTCATGGGGGGCAGCGGCCGAATCTTTCGGCCAGCCCAGCCCCCCTTGCGGTGCCAAAGCCCGCTGGAAGGCCTCTTGCCCAGCCAGCGGTTCCGACCTGCCTTGCCGATGACCCGTTTGTTATGATCAACGTTGGATACTCGGCCTACTGTTGCTATGCACGTTTCCAGCACCTGACAGAGAAAGCACAGGGAGGAGAATGCACCGTGGGCGGAGGGGGGACTGACAACGTTGAGAGCAGGACTCTTGGGAGGCTTCTTACACTCACTGAGAGAAGGGAGAGGAGAGGGTAAAAGCACAACATAGTTAAGTGTGGGTCCTACAGTAAGAACTGGGTAGTTAAAAAACAAACGCATATTCCACATGGTGCCAACCTGACAAGGCAGGCCTAGTCATGTGGCAGAAAAGCACAAGGCCCAGCTCCAGGCAGTTCCTTGCATCATAAAACACCTGGGAGCTATCCCAGCCAGGAAAGGTACATTCCAAAAATTCCTCCTTTGCTGATCCTTCTCACCTGTACCCTCAAGACACACCTGCATCTGCCTCTTTGAAGGCAGCTGGATGATGGCTGTCCCATTCACCTTCCGCAGTAGTACACCACATGTCCCTGGGGAAGGGAGAAGCTGCTTTGCCACCCTCCACAAAGGAGGAGGAGGTATGGGGGGGGGCGGGAATTTACATGGGAACCATATCCCACATACTGCCCTTGTCTTGCCCTTTAGGAGTAGATATAATTAAGGATACATGCAAGGTTTTAGGTTAAAACACAAGCACATTTTCATCCTCATGATCCTTGTTTTTTCCTTCTTTTTCTCTGCTAGTGGACCAGATATGGACCCATGGGTTCAGAGAATTGTGACCTCGGGTACTCTTTGGCCTTCCAAATTGTAGGACCCAGGCAGCTTCTTCCCCATACCTGCAGCTCGGATATACTGGGCTCCCCGGCCAGGTTCACTTTCCACATTGTTGATGAGGGTCCCCACAGGCAGGGCCCCAAGAGGATGTGCATCCCCTTCCCGAGCAGCAACTAAAAGACAGAATTTCATCAGCACTAGAACCTTCACAACCTCTAGCCCACACATCTGGCTACCATCTCTCACCTGCCATTCGGCCTATGTGGTCAGAGTTCAGGATTATATCTCCAGCTTGCATATTTTCTGTGGCAATGATCCAGCGTTTCCGGCTGCCCCCAGCAATCAGAGCTATGTTTGCTGACCTGTTTAGAGTGAGGGACAGGTGAAGCAGACCATCTAGGCAGCCCCACATCTTCTGAGAAGCTACAAAGCAGCCATTCAGATCTTCCCTTATTGTCCCACATCCCGAACTTGCCTACAGGGATCATAGCGGACTGTGACAACTCTCTCCTTAAAGGGTCCTGGATTGGTCTCCTGCTCGGGCCGGAAACGCAGAAAGTCAATCATGCGATAACGTTGTTTGTGGCCTCCGCCAATACCATGCACTCGAATGCGGCCTGTGGTCATGACAGTTTGGAGACGTGATCCAGGTCAGACTAGTTCAACTCCCAGCATTGGGAACAGGCTCATCCTTGGCCAGAGGGCAGAGCTTCCCAATATTGTGGCACAAGCAGAAAATGATAAAAAATTTGCACAGCACTGGAATGGGTGGGGGAGGCAACATCTACTCAAACCTTGGTAAAAATATAATTATATGATTACTGAAATTGTATAAAATTTCCAGATAAAATCTTTTCAAATTACTGAATTCAATAAGTTTACTGAGAGCCATGTAAATTGTGCTCAAATAATTTCAACTATTATAAGTTTTTGAAGGGTATGCAAGAAAATGTCGTGGAACTTACTGTGTATGGCCAGTTTTCTTCAATTACCCAGATTGTCTTAATAGCACAGATAAGCCGTCTGTTGTTTTGCATGCTATTCTCTGGCTCCTACACACATACTACATGCAGAAGGAGCCCAATAAATGCTTTTTAATTACATTCTTTGGCCTTACAAGGTATGTGTGTCAGTACACAGATCTAGGGTTGTAGCATGTTTTTCCCCTTTACAGCTTAAGTATCCTTGCCCTTGCTCCCACCTGTGTGGTCTCGACCCCCAGACTTCCTCATCTTCACTGGTTTAATAGTGTACTTGGTACGACTCTTCCAGGACACAAACTTGGCACTAAGGGCCACAGAGGTAAGGACTGGGCGGCAGGGGAGCAACATCAAGGTAGAGGGCAGTTGGAGGAGGGCATTGCTCATCACCTAGGGATAAACAGAAATCTCTTTCACTTGAAAGCTAATTGAAGGAGGACTAAAGAACCAGGGGAGAGGGCACAGATAAATTTTAACGTTTAGACCACTTCCTCCTGGAAGTGTCCCAGACCAGCTGTCCAAAAACTCCACCCTTCACAACTTGCACAGATACCAGTGCAGAATGTTTATCCAGGTGCATGTATATTTGATCCTCTCATCTCTGAAATTTTTCTTTTCTTTTTTTGGTGGCTAGTGCGTATAGAGATCTACCTCTGAATTGTTTCAGTGGAATATTCTCCCCTTGGTCATCTCCTTCCAAAGTTTACTCCATACTCTCCTTCTCCAGGAAGACTTTCTTTCCCTCAACAACTCCCTTTTCCAGAGCCAGTAACTGCCACACAGTCATGTACCACCATCAGCACCTATATGCCTTTTGGCCTCTACATTATGACTCTGGAAGTTTTTTGCATATGAACGGAGGGTAAGGATCATTTTTGTCTTGTTCCTTGCTGTATTCCCAGCATTTTACAGGTAGGTTGGTTTGGTTTCGAATTTTATTTATTTTGGGGTTTTTTTGGGGGGGCAGTTGGCCAGTGCTGGGATCAAACCCTGGACCTTGGTGTTATCGCTATGCTCTAACCAACTGAGCTAACCAGCCAGCCCTGGTTTCGAGTTTAAAGTATGCATCTGCCAAACTATCACAATCAGCCTGAGAGCTCCAGAAGATTAAGACTTACAACTTCTCTTTTCTGTGACTCACCAGTTGCCCACTAGGGACCTTAGGAAACCTTCACCTGAAGCTCTTCTTGGTATCTTGTCCTGCATTCTCATAATCTGAGTAATAACTCAGCCTTGCGGGTATCATATCATAAAGGCTAAGAGCACAGGCTCTGAAGACATACTCCTATAGTTAGTGTGTGACCTTGGACTGCTTATCAGTTTTCTCATCGGTAATATAAGAATGATAATAACTACCTTATAGAGTGGTTGAAATGAGTTCATTTATTTGAAATGTCTATTACTTATGCCTGGCTTATCGTAGGCAATCAAATTTTGGTTATTAATGAAACCTCTACAGCTGGATCTGCAAAGTTTCCAGTATCTTATCTGAAGAATCTCGCCCTAAAAGATAACAACACTTATACAGGGGAAAGCTGAGGCTGAGACTGACTTAACCAAGGCGTACGTGACTTCTGACCAGACTAGCATCCCCCGCCTCCTGCCTCCCATCTCCGGCGGCCCGAACTGGAAACAGCCTCCTTCCCGGGTAAAGCGGATTACCTGCGCGGCGGGTAGCAGACTCGAAACGGGGGCGGCAACAGCTGGGGTCGCTAGGCTCAGAGAGCCCAGAGCGCGGCTCAGTGCCCACAGTGCCATAGGGGTGGCCAGGCTCCACTGTACTCAGCCCGCCAACCTTACCTGTAGTCAGGCCGCCTGGCGCTCCCAGATGACGCTAACTGTCCTCGGAGCCGTCGCTCCCCAATTACGTTACGTAAAAAGAGGCGGGCGGAGAACTGGAGATCAAGCTGGGTACACACCTCCGTTCCTCCCGAGCGTGGTCAGAGCCAATCTTTGGGCGTCTCTGAGGTCGCGTGACTAAAAGACAAGCCCCGCCCCTCACAGCCGTCAAAACAATTACCTCGAGCGGCAGCCATGATGGATTTAAAGGGGCAGTACCGGCAAGGGCGGCAGCCAGACCGACAGATTGTGGGTAAGCCTTTGAGGGTTCCTTTGAGACTGAGGCTTGAGGTCCCCGCCACCTCTTATTCCCGCACTCCCGGACAGATAAACAAACCTCCTCCGGCCAACCGCACAAAACTCCAGACTCAAAAACTCCGCCCCCCGAGATTCTTCCCCGCCCCTCGGCGTCCAGACAGACAGACAGACGGTCTGCCCCGCCCCCTGCGCGACCGACTGACTCAGTGACCTCGGGATTGTTCGGGTGCCGGGTCCTCGTCAGTGACGCGGACCTCGGTTGTCAACCCGCACCGTACCTCCCTCCCCCACACCGATCTCCCTCTATCCCCACCCTGGGCCCCAGGGCAGGTCGACAGCCTGGGACATTCCTCAACCGCATTCCCAGGTCCAGGAGACCAACTCCCAGCCACGTTTCTCCGTGACCTCAGACGGTCAGCAGACCTCCCAT